GATAAACACAGTGATTTCTTCATCTTCCTTCTTTTGCCTTTTGCTGATCTGCACACAAAAATTATCTTTTCAGATTTTTCAGACTAGTGTTGGAGATGTTGTGAGTGCCTCCCAATGAAAATGCTGCCAAAGCAGGGAAACTTTCATAAAAATTGAATCTGGCAGTGGTTGTTTTTTTTTTTTTTTTTTTTTTTTAGGTGTTTTGTGTTTTTCTGGAACCTGTGGCTTGCGGGACAAGCAAACCTTGGATGCTCTCAGATATGCAGTAGCTCTTCCCTGTGATGTTTTTAAGTGTGGAAGGGGCAGGTGATCCCTACTCTGAATTTCAAGTTGACAAGGAACTTGAAATGTCACTAAAAGGTAGGAGGAAATCCTGGGAGATGAATTTAGGATGGGCCTTCCCAGCCCCTTGCTCAGGGAAGCACTGCAAAAAGCTGAACTCCTTGGGAAAGTGCTCTTACAAGTGCTTTTGGTATTTTAGATGCCATATTAAAAATGAAAGAGAAAGATCCTCCAAAATATTTCTTTTTCATAAAGGACCTTCTGTCAACAGCATAGAAAGATAAATCAAAGGAATATTTCGGGCAGCTGCTTTTAATTAGCTCACGTGACTGGCTGGTGGAAGAATTAAATTAGAGTGTAGATTTTCTTGGGGAGCAGCGAAGGTGAGAAGCGGAGCAGGGCCTGCCCAGGTGTGGGAGCCTCCCTCGGACTCCAGCACCTCCCAGCTGCTCCCACTGGCAATTTGGCATCTGCCTCTCCACTGGTCAGCCCCATGCCCCGAGCTGGGTTTATCCTGCACACATTTACTCCCAGCCTTGGTGCACTGGGCTGCCTGGCGGAGGGCCTGTGCAGCCCTACCGTCAGCGCTTTTTTGGGGAGATAATTACCCCAGCTCAAAGCCCCCTCAGCCAATCGTGTCCTGCTATTCATGTGAGCTGTTTCATAATGCTGTTTTGAACCCTGTTGGTGGCATAATTAAGATTTAATTAAATACAGGAATAGAAACATGTTCTTCATTTGACCATCTGTGAGTCAATGACTGCAGTGGTTTTCGGAGTTTCTACGCTACATGCTGTTAGTGAGTGTTTCATATTATTTTCCATCTCCCCAACCATACTTGCACGTTTTTGGAGCCACCAAAGAGTTAGAGTAGATATTATGATGTTATTATAATCTTGTGTGGGTGATCATCTCTTTCTGCTGCTCTTTGTTATTGATCCTGTCCCTCAAATCAGCCCTCAAGTGTAGCTGGCGCTGCTGGGACCATGGGGAATGGGGATGCCAAAAGAAAGATGGCTCAATCCAAAGATAAAAAGGAAATGGAGGGGAATTGTGTTGATTTGCTTTGTTGGTGAAATAGTCAAACAACAACAACAACAACAATAATATTTTTCTTAGTGTCTTCTACAGCACCTGGCACAAAAGCAGCCTAGGACAGACCTGGCAATAATCAAGTACCCAAAGTGCACATCAGGACCAAAGAATGGCTTCTCCTCCAATCAAAGCCCAGGAAATGTTGAGCTGATGTGCCCAAATTGTGCATGTTTTGAGTTTGACAAAAACCCTTTGTGAGTTGGTGTTGAATATAAGTCACATCTAAATGAAAAGAGTGGGGTTTCCCCTAAATAAAATTGGCTTATTTCTGAAACTTTAGCTTGGAAATATTTTGAGTTCAAAAAAATATTATGAGGCTAAGTTTGGTTAAATGTTGTGTTTTTAAATAGCGTAAAATTCACTCTGAGCCAAAACTGAAACATTTTGTCTCAGATACAATGAAATGTTGCGTTTGATTGAAACATTTCTTTCTCTACTGTTTGCTGGCCTAAGGGATGAAAGTAAAAGAAGTTTAACTCAAACAATATTGATGCCTTCTTGGATTTTTCTTGTGGAGGAAGAAAGAGGTGTGTCAATGACCCAGGCCTAAAAAAAATGCTTTACAAAGCTTGTGCTAAAGCACTTAAGAAAACACGGCAGGATTTTGCCTTTGCTCCTCCTGAGCATTTCCTCTTTCCCCATTTTACACTACCAAATTAATCTACTGTTTTCATCACAATACTGCTTCAAAAATCAGAATTTTAGTGCAATAATTCCTTTTCTCTGTATTTTGTTTGTTTGTTTGTTTTCACTCACTTTTTTTGGATTTCTGCTTTGGGGCACACATGAGGGTAACCAGTCAGGTTAGCAACAGTAACAGATACTTTCAAAGATTTGAAAAAATGTTTGCGAAAATGAACATTTTCTGGAATTTGGAGGGAAATAAGTAGGAAAAACACTGATGGTTTATTTCAGAGTCAACAGGAGTGGACCATGTTCTTTCTCAATAGAGAAGTTTGGGCTGAAGTTCTGTGGTGATGTTCTTCCTAATGATGCTCTATGAACACATAAAGCACACGACTGTGAGATCTCCTCTGCCTTCTAATTTATCTCAGTTCCACGAATTTCCAGAGTTCCAGGAATCATTGTTAGTTGCCATCTTCCTCCACCTCATTCCAGCCTTTTCCTAAATGGGAGGTGTAGAGGGATCCTGGTGTTCAAAGGGACATTTTGGTCTCCACCAGCACTGAGTGGTGACAGCTACCCAGTGATCCCAACTTCCAAACCAATCCTACTCTTCTCCTGCTCTAGTATGTCCCAACCATCTCTGGCTTTGCTGCTGTTCTTTGTGCCATTATCATCATGCAGGACACATCATGGATGGCTTGTAGCTTTCCAGGGCATCAGCAGGTTTTGGGAAAACATGATGGAGTGTTCCAGGGAGCTGTGGCAAGGGACTGAGAGAAGGCTCTAAGGCAGCAAGGAACCAGTTTCACTCTTATAGATAATCTCATCCCAATTTTAATGGTGTTTGGAAGTTCCTGCTGGGTTCAGTCCCACTCTGTGGCAAGCCCTGAGATATGGCAGGTGCTGGGACAGCAGGAGTTTCAAAATGTTTTGCAATCTGTCTCTGCTACCGTTGAAATTGCTGCCTTGGAAAAATCCCACTTTTGTTTCAATTGGTTGCCCTAAAAAATGAGTGGAAAGGGCTCATTTTGCCCCCACTGAGTGGCCCTGGCCGATGGGACAATGATGGGACATTGCTCATCTCCAACCTTGATTTCCAGCAGCCGGGAATTTGGCTCAGCACTGGAACCAAATGGAGCCAATGGCCCCGTGCTGGGCTGGGGATGGACGGGATCCAAGGGGCTCCAACCTTCCCAGCCCCACAGGCCTCTCCAAAGCACCCCAGGAATGAGCAAAACTCTGGGAAATGCAGAAGCTCATAAACACCTGAAATCCTTTTCAAAGGGCACAGAGAGAAATTTATTGCTCAGTGAGAGTCGCAATTTATCCCAAGTGCTCAAGCCTATGATTTGAACATTATTTGACTTTGGAATATCTTTTCATTTTAATAAAAACCCAAACACATGCAGTGCATGGATATTTCTTGTCCTCAAAGTGGAGCTGAGCTACATTCTTGCCATCTCTTTAACTCATCCCTGACACGGTGCATTTACAACAAAAAAACACACATCCAACACGTGTGGCTGTGAAGCAGAATTCCCTCTGGGAGAATTTGCCTCTGGACAGATGTGGTTCAAGTCACCTTTCTGTCTGACAGAACAGATGAGCTCCAGGAGTCCAGCTTCCACAGGCAAGGAATGATGAGAGGCAGAAACAGGACCTGTGTTACTCAGATTTTCACCCTTTCCCAGTTACTCTTAGACATGGCTATTTTTAAAGATTTCTATTTTTTCCAGCAAAATGAAATTTTTTATGTAAAAGGGTGTTTGTTTATGTTTTTTCCCTGCATTTTGAATGCAAAATTAGGACCGTGAAATCAAAAAAACACCGTTGGTTATAAGCAAAAGTTGGCTCAGTTTTTATGAGACATTTTTTTTGTGCCGTAAAATCAGCATTTGTCTTCTAAAAACCCAGATATTGTGGAGGAAAACTTTGCATTAATACTGGGATGGGTACATCTAATTTCATTTTTAGAGTCAGAATTATAAATCTAATTAGACTTTAAAGTAGAATTCTAATTAGGCTTAGAATTCTAGTTAGACTTAGAATTATGATTAGACTTGGGCATAGAATTATAATTATACTTGGATGTAGAATTCTAACTAGACTTAGAATTCTGATTAGACTTGGACTTAGAATTATAATTGTACTTGGACCTAGAACTGGAATTCTAATTAGACTTAGAATTCTGATTAGACATGGATTTAGAATTATAACTGTACTTGGACCTAGAATTGGAATTCTAATTAGACTTAAAATTCTGATTAGGCTTGGACATGTATTTATACTTGGACTTATCTGATTAGATTTGGATGTAGAATTATAATTAGACCTGGACTTAGGATTGAAATTTGATTTAGAATTCTGGTTAGACTTGGATGTAGAATTATACTATAACTGAACTTACAATTTTGATTAGATTTGAACATAGAATTCTAATTAGACCTGGACTTAGAGTTAACATTCTAACCAGCCGCTAGAATAGGAAAGCTGATGGACATTTCCCTTGCAATAGCTGCAGTTTTCAAGCATTTCTGAAGTTGTAACTTCATCTCTGACCTAGTGGAGGGAAGTGTTTGAGCCTGGCTTTATTTAGGATCCCGCTTAATCCCTCTCTGAGTGTGGAGGGTGTAAAGATCCCAGGAGCTCTGGTTCTGAGGTGGCTGAGAGCTCGCTGAGGTTTTCTCTCTCTGCATTGAGATTCCCTGAGCTCGGGGAGCTGCTCAGAGGGAATAGATCTGTGCATTATCAAATAATTCTTGGGAACTGGGCTCAGTTGCAGCAGTAACGCTTTCCAGGCTTGTGTCTCAGCTACCATCTATCCACAGGGCATCTTCTGAACCTGCTTTAATTCCTGCATCGCTTCGAAAATGTAGGATTTTGGGAGGAATATTCCCGTTCTGATGTGTTTCTCCTCCCTAAGTGGAAATGTCAGTGTTTATTTGCGAACGGCCGGAGAATGATGTTTTCTCTTTCCATTTTCCCCTCAGGTGTTTTTTTGGCACAGCTACGGTGTGATTTAAGATAACTAACTAACTAAATAAAGAGGCTCAAATGCTGAAAGCCCCACCGGTGTGGCTGTCAGAGGGACCCCTCCCGACGGCACCCCCGCTCCTCTCCGTTACCGTGACGCTCTCCCATTTTCCCCTGAACACTCCGCGTTCCAGGAGACTGGCACAAGCAGCCTCCTGGCCGCCGGCTCAGGTACCTCACATCCTGGATCCATAAGGATGCCGGCAAGGCTGGCTTCCCCTTCCCTGGATCGCTGCGAGCGGGATGTGCTGTTGGAGGTCTATGGAAGATGCCGAAGGCTGCTTTGCGCTGGAGGTAGGAGAGCAGGGAGGGAGCCTTGGCTGTTTGCTGTCCGTGCAGGAGCTGCACGATGTGCTCGCATCTGGCAGCTTTGTAGCACCGTGCCTGTGCTTATCCAGCCTTGCTCCTGCCGATGGGAAACCTCAGGATCGCAGCGAGCCCTAGGTTAAAGCTTCGTGCCTCCATCTCCGCTGATAAGAGCGTTTCCTGTATTTAGGCACAGTTTAAACCGAGCTTTCCAGGTGGAATGAAGGGTTATTCAGCCCTGTGTGTTATGATAAAGCTCATTTTCAGAATATCCTGTCCCATGTCCAAGCGGACAAAAATCAGTTCTGGATTCAGGCGTTTTCTGGGGTCAAAGAGGGTCCAGCCACGGTCATTAGAACAATGTGCAGACTGAGCATTTGGGAACACTGATCTCTGTGCCCGAAACCTGGTTTTATACCTAACATATCATTTGAGATAAATTCTCAGAGCAGCAGGTGTGTCACTCCAAGCCTAACTTTAATTTGATGTGCAGTGAAACATTTCAAAGTGCTCAGATGTCTTGTAGGGAAAGATGTCATGAAAGACCGAAGTGGTTGCATCATATATGAAATATGAATAAAGGGGCTTTTGTTTTGTTTCTGTCTTCAGGAAAGCAGAGATAGAAGAGGTCTCCTCCAAGACAAGTATATTTCTATGTTAAAAATAATTTGCCAAGCAGAAGTAAAATGATGCTCCACAGCAGCGGAACAAAACAAAATTCCTCTGTGAGCTTCCCAGTAGAACATATATTTTTTTTAATTTAATGGAGTTAATCCTTGTTTGTTTACCTTCTTGATTATATTAACCAGCAAGGTAGTGATTAAAGGCAGGAGTGTAGCTCATGCTAATTATATTTAAAGCCCCTGAACCTGTTTCTTTTTAGTTAGAGATGATTACAATAAACACACCTGCACTATTTTACAACAGGCTCAGCCTTGGCTTGGGATGCCAGGAAAGGCCAGGATTTAACCCTGCTTGGCACTTTGTATGGAGATATAAAGTGGGGATTTTTCCAAGGAATCTGGGAATTGTGGCATGGAGGGACTGGAACGAGTGGCTGGGCAGGTCTTGAAAATAATAACGGATTAAACAATAATTAAATTCACTGTATTGTTCAGCAGGTAAAGCAGAGGCTAAATGTGCTCCTGTATGAACATTCATGGGTGTGTTGGTCAACATCAACTGGCTCTGCAGAACCTGTTCTGGTCTTAGCCTAAACCAGTACAAACCATTGCCCCTACTGGTTTATACAGGAGCTGGCTGCCTTAATCATGGAGCACAGAAATATTCTCATAAAAAGTAAATTTCCCCTTTAGAGTGCCAGGTTTGGGTTAATATGAGGGGGTTTCAAACAAAAATAAGACCTGCAGAAGTTAATTCACCGCAGCAGAGTGGTTTGGGGAGATAACATCTTCTATTCCTGCTGTTTAATTAAACCCAGATTTTTATTTGCTATACCTTTTAATTAAAGAGGAATAAGATATTTGCTCTCCTAAGGCATCTGGTTGATTTTATGAAATGTGGGGTTTGGGGTTTTTTGTTGCTTTACTTTCTAGTTTGAGATTGAAATGCACCACTCTGCTCCAGCACATTTTTTATTGAAGGGAGGTTAGGCAGCTTTTCCTCAGTTCTGGAGGCTGGGAGACAATCACAACCATGAAATTCCCCTCCGGATTCGAGCTGATCTGCTCACAAAGCAAGGAGGAATAATAATAAGTCCTCCCTGCAGCTGTGAACTTCAGCTAGGAATAAGTAGCAAGGTAACAGATATCACAAAGCAAAAGAAGTGGAAAAAATCAAGTAGGGCAAAAAAACATTTCCCTTGCTATTTATTCAGGGGCTTAAATTTATTTAAGCAGTGAGAGTATTTTAAAAAGCACTTATTTTGCATTCATATGATAGTGAAGAATTAAAACAAATTCCCTGAATGCATTTTTAATGTGGTTTATAAACTGCTTTTTACTGCTTGGAAAAGATCGATATTTATATTATTATGCATTTGATCTCACTATTTGTGCTAAATACCTTTAGAAGAGATGCTTCTCGGCTCCTCCATGTTTAATTTTATGAAATCTCTCAGAAGTTAAGGGCAGCTTTTCAACCTCATAATAAGATCATATCTCTTCAGATTTCCCTTGAATGTTCCATGTTATTTTTGTAGGGCACAATTCTTCCTCCACATTATTTAAGATGCCTTGAAAGTCAATAATTTCTGATTTTTAAAAAAATATATATCAGCAAAACTTCCAAGGCTTTTCCATCTTCGTCTGCTGATTTGGTTTTGCAGTTTTATGGGATTGCAGAGTTATTATTGATTTTTAACACTATGAATTTCCTGGGAAGGTACCAACCACGTATTACTTTCATTTTGCAGAGCGGTTGAGTTACAGCCCTGGCTCAGAGTCGCGTGTTTTCCTGATGTTTTACCCCAAGGAGCAGGGTTTGGCTGTGGAAGAGCAGCACTGAGAACGCTTCACAAAGATGTAAGAGCCGGGAGAAAAATATAATGTGGAAAAAGGAAAATTGAGTTATTGAAAGAGCTTTTTTTTTTCTGGTTTTTGTTTAGCTCGCGGATTTTTCACCCCCTGAAAGTAGATCCATCACTCTGCTGGGGCAGTGTAATGTTTCTGAGCCTGAAATTCCTGTCACGATGTGGCAGAAATTCTTCCCCGGGGTATCAGAAGGAGAGTTGGATAGTGTCTGTTGGAAACTTACTGATAATATGGACTTACCTTCCTGGAAAAGGTGGATTTAGGAGTGCAGCATGTATTCCAACAGCAGAAAAAAAACCTGATAAACTGCTCAATGTAAGGTGTTGATCCACCCCAACACAGGAGTTTATCCTCTGTGCTAATTGCACCCTCATGTCAGCTCTGCCTAATTTAAGTATAATCAAGGCTTCTATTTAAACATGTGCTTTGTTGTTTCCCTGGCCTGATAAAGTGGGATTAAATGCTGCAAATCTGCCTGTTGGATGTGCAAAAATCAGTGCAAGGGTTCCTTACAGCTGGGAAGTTCCACTGCATCACCCAAAATGCTTGAATGGGTTGGTGTGCACCTCCTCAGGAGGGGGAAATTATGGAATGGAGGGAATAAATGCAGTACCAGAAGTGTCTGTGATGTTTCAAACAGCACCAGGAGAGGGGTGCTGGCTGGAGAGCGTCTGCGAGCCAAAAACCTTGGGAACCGCAGGCCAGAATTCCCAGTACCCGAAAAACAGGAGAGTTAGACGCTGCAAGGCAGGTCTGGGATTAACTCCCTGGCTGGGCCCGGTGCTGTAACCTCCGATAATGGCTGTTCCAGTTCATATAAGTTTGTTGTGCCCCGGAGAGCCGCGGCACCGCGGGCTGGGGAGAGCTCTCCCGCGCGCTCCGGCGGGGGATCGCAAATGCGCTCCCTTCTCAGCAGCTCGCTGAGCAAAATGCCCTCTCTGGGATTCCCAGCTGGAGCCATGAGCTGGAATGGGCTTTGGATAAGCCTCGTCTGTCAGTGGGACTTGTTTCTGGAAGGGCAGAGAGAGGGAAACCCGCTGGGCACTGGAGAGGCTGCAAGGAAAGGCCCACCAGGCCAATGTCATTTCATGACTGATAACAATTCCTTATCTCTGGGTGGAAGGCTTTATTATTCCCTCTTTTCCTATGCCACATTTCCAGGAGACAGGGGTGGTAATGTGAGCGCACCCCAAACAGCCAAAACCTGGGATTGCCCTTCCCGTTTCTCCATTTGCATCTGCGTGCAGCAGTGTCTGATGGGAACGGCCCGGGCTAAAATTTTCCATGCTCGGTGTCTGCCTCGGACGGATTATTTTTGGAAAGGGCTTTTGGAGGAGATGGCTTAGCCATCCCTGGGAGTGGGATCAGAGAAAGAGGCATCTTGCAGTGGCGCAAGCTCTTCCAAGATGAGAGCAGAGAGAATGCTGTGCTGCTTCCTGAGGGTGTTCAGGATCAGTGGATGCTCTGCCTGGAGGCTTTTTGTGCCAGCTCATGGCATCTTGGCTCCCTCAGGGAAATTCTTCCCTGATATTTCAAAGAATTCAGGCACTGCAGAGGGAGGGATTGTAAGGGTAATTTTTTTTTTCTTTCTATTATTCTCTTTCTCTATGCAAGGTGTGTAAACAGGACGTAGAAAAATGCATTCAAACAGCTCCAGAAGGATAAAAAACAAGGGTTTGGAGTGAAGAGGCATAAAACATGATCTAAGTGCAGAGAGAGATAGTTGTGCACAGCCTTTATATGCAGTTTTTGCAGCAGATGTTTCTGTTCACTCTGTTCCCCGAGGTGATGATCTGCTTTCCTGGGGTTGAGCTGGAGCAGGGATGCTGGCAGGAGCCCTCCTCTGCTTTTGGAAAGGGGAGATTATAATCCTGGACCACGAGAGGGCACTGCCTGCAGCTGGATTCCCCTCAGTTCAAACACCGGCTTGGATAGTGAATCCAAAATATTATCTGCTTTTATTCCCGTCACCCTCTCCCCCTCTTCTGGCAAGGAATTATTTTTGAGATTGGAATTGCTTTGGCGCTGGAGTTTCCCTGTTCAGATGCACTAGGGCTTCAGCAAACAGTCTGGGTGGGAGTCATCTAAAATTAGCCATCGTGGTGGAAATTACACTTTGTTCCCACAAAAGGAGCTGATGTGGCTTGGAAGGCTCTTCCCAAGGTCAGGACTTGCTGGTGGCCCCCACAGCCTGGGTGCCTACACATGGATTTATTGAGGGGGTGCAGTGGGGAAAGCAGAGATGAGTTGTTGCAAGGGAACTCCCACAAGGGATTTAGGATGCTGAACCAGCTCTGAAAAGCCACCCCAGTGCCTGTTTGCCTCTTTTGCCACCTGTGCAAAGGGACTGTCCTGTTCCAGGGCATAGCTTCAACCACAGGGATGGTTGGATCCATTCAAGGAAACAGGTTCATTGCTTCCCTCCCAGTGCCTGACCCAGGAGCAAACATCTTCTGCCACAGGATGGCAACCCTCAGGCTGCTCTGAGTTCCTCCTGCTGATTCCCTGGGTCATATCCCGTGCCCATGGAGAGCATGGACATAGCCCAGGAAATCCTGTCCCAAATGGCCATTGCTGGGTTTGAAGGTGAATGAAGGTTGTGATGAAGTCTCTGCCATCCCACCTGAGGGCACACCATGATGGTAGCACTCTCCAGGTGAAGGATTTTGGGCATGAGAGGTACAGAGAAACTTAATTCGTCTCTGCAACCGGAAGGAAATGAAGGAAAGAACACCTGGGAGCTCCTTCATTAGCTGCAATTTTCCCAAGTATTCCTATTCCATTCCTTCCCTGGGAGGGTGGGCAGGCCCTGGCACAGGGTGCCCAGAGCAGCTGTGGCTGCCCCTGGATCCCTGGCAGTGCCCAAGGCCAAGTTGGACACTGGGGCTTGGAGCAGCCTGGGACAGTGGGAGGTGTCCCTGCCATGGCAGGGGCTGGAATGGGATGGGCTTTAATGTCCTTCCCAACCCAAACCCCCTGCCATGGACAGGGACACCTTCCACTATCCCAGGTGACTCAGAAATGCAAACTTGCTGTCGTGGGTCTGTGGCCAAAAAAAAAAAAAAAAAAAAAAAAAAAAAAAAAAAAAAAAAAAATTAGAAAACCAAATTGCCCTTTCACTACCAAATTGTCCCTGAAACTACCAACACGTTCTCAAAAGAACAGCTCCCAGTGAGGATGTGATTCCTTTTGTTCCAGGATTTCCAGGTTGATGAAGAGCCACAGAGTATTATTCCAGAAAGGGTCAGCAGTTTACTTTTGGAAGAAGGAAGGTGTAACAAATAATTCTCACATTTCTTGGCAAGGAGAGTGGCGGGCTGGAAATGGGGTTGTGTTTGGAATGAGCAATTCTCCTGCTGCTCTTGGGCCCCTCAGCTGCTCCTCAGAGGCTGGAGACCAGGGTAGAACTCCTCAGCACCTTCTGGCACCCTTCCATGGGAGGTTTGGCTGTGGAATTGAAGGGGAAGCAGGGCTGAGGAAGACCAGCAAGGTGGAGCCTGACCCTCGAACCAGGTTGGTCATTGGTATTCCCTGTTTGGGAATGTGCTGATTGACTGAGGAGTCTTGGACAGGCCTTCATAAAGTCATCTTAGATTCTTGATTTGTGCAATGGTGTCTGGGTTGCTCTACAATCAGGTTGTGTGTGTACATCATAGGATTTGTGTAATTTATTCCTGGAATAAAATGTCAGGGTTCAGGACATGAGATGAAGGAACAGAAAAATGAGCATAACTATCAGTTTCCTGTCAGAGAATCTCACTGTGCTGTCAGTCAGGCCTGTTGGCAGGAGAGTTGTGACCCAAGGAATGAGTCAGAACTGTGAGGGGAGAGGATGGGTGGATATGGAGTATATCCACAAAATCCACACTCAGCGATTCCCCTGGATTGGCATGGAGTGTAAATGTCCTGCACAGAAATAATTTCCCCCTCATCTTTCTGCCTGGTGATACACATCCAGGAGCTGAAGTTCAATCAGAAAAGGGCAGCATTGTTCAAGAGCAAATGTGTGTCCAGCCCTGGAGATATTCAGGAATGCCTTTCCTGGAAAAAATCCCTGAAGAGACAATTTGTTTTTGCTCAGTTTAGCAGGAAGGGAGCCATAGCTCCAGCTTGGCTTCCTGCAGCCAGAGAGAGCTGATGTCCTCTTGATTCACTTTTATTTACATGAAGTGAACGGCACCATCAGAGACTGACCTGATTCTGTGACACGTTCAGCATTTCAGCAGTCAGTTGCATCCAAATGATTTAACAGCACATCACCCAAAAACCGAGCCTTGCTTTAGCAATTTGAGGTGGAGCATCAGCTGGAAGAGCCTGGCAGGCTCTGGGTAGCTTGGGGAGGGCAGGCAGAGGTGGACTGTCCCCTCCAGGCAGCACCAATCAGCATAAATCAAATGTGGCTTTGCTGAAGGTGATGGAATGGCACCGGTGTCAATCAGGTTGTGCGTGAGGAGAAACATCTTCATCAGTGGTGATAAATGTATTGACCCCTACTCATTGATTCAAGAGCCCAAGATTAGAGTTTCAGCTCCCAAAAGGAACATGATATTTCTGGTTTTGACTCTAGTCCAAGCCCCAGTCCTTACATAACCCGCTGCAGGGTTTATTTGCTGCAGTTTTTCCAAGCTTGGAGTCATCATTGAATTCCAATAGCTTGTTCCTCAAAGCCCTGCTTTGTGTGATCATCACATTTGTGTGATGATTCCTTGACAGCAGCAGGGATAGGTGGGAGTGACCCCACAGCAGGCAAAGCTTGCCAGCCTGCAGACCCCAGCCCAGCTGGCAAAACCTGTAGGAATTCCAAGGTGGTGCTGGTGGAGCTGGGCTGTGTGTAGCTAGCAGATATTTTTGTTTTGTCCTGGCATTGCTGTTTGAGTGTGGAGCACCAGTGATGGGTGTTTGCACCTCACGAGGACTTCAGCTTTATCTTCCTTCCTCAGCTGGAGGCACCAGGTGAAGGAAAAGCCCTGACCCAGGATATTTCTTCCTGCTATGTCATTACGATGCTTTTGGTACCAAGGCTTCTCCAGGTTTGCGCTCCATCCAAACAAGCATTGGCTAAATCTGAAAGATCACCAAAATTCACCTGTGGATGTGCTTTCCTCCTGATACTGCACACATCCAGCTTCCTTCCAAAGCTGTTATCCCGGATTTTTAAGCTGGAGCAAAAGCAAAGAAAGAGATTTCTGCTTGTAACCAGGTGCCTGCAGCAAATTGTTTCAGGATGTGGCATTATTGTCCCGTGTCCAGCACAAAGGTCTGCTGTAGGGTAGAGAAAAGCAGGGCAGAGATCAAAATCTTTAAAATGAGGCATATCTGGAGACAGGGATTCTGGATGCCCAAAATTAGCTTTGGGTAAAGGACTTTTTAGTCCTGATGGGAGATGATTCCCCCACGATCCATGACAACCCTGGAGAGGCATTTTTGTACCTGATGATTGTGGGGTGTGACCTGAGGGGTCTGGCTGAAAGCAGCATGGAGGGAGGAATCCCAAATCCCTGTTGCCCTCAGTGGGACCTTGCAGATATAAAGATCCTATTGAAAATCCACGGAAAGCCCTACTGGGATTATTTGGGCACTATTTAGGCCACTGAGATGGGTATGGAGCTCTCAGCCCTGGCTAGGGTCCCACTGAGCCCTCATCTCACCAGGAAAGTGACAATGTCATAGCTGCTTCCATGGCACGTTGATGACATGGAGGATCAGCATTTCCAGAGTAGAGAACTAGGGAAAAGCAGAAAAATGCATTTTCAGGTGTTTTGTTTTGTTTGTTTGTTTGTTAAGATTTTAATTTTTTCATGTATTGTTTCCTGTAAAAATTCATCCAATTGTCTTAAGCGGGAGAGAAAGCAGAGTCAAAATTTGACATTGAATGTTTTATTCTAAATTGACTGAAATATATCGTTGCACCCAAGGTGAAATTCCCCTTTTCGTTTTGACAGAAAAATTGAAAAGTGAAAAAGGCTCTTCACAGTTTCCTCCTCTGTTGGAATCTGAGGTATTGATGATTCTGAGATTGTAGAAAGTCTCTGTCTTTCTGCCCCGTTGCCAAAGCAGAAGCCATAATTGGTCTGTGCTGGTTTCAAGGTTGTTTATTCTGTTTATCTCTAACATGTTCTGCTGCCCTGCCGCAGCTCTGTCCTGTAGGGCAGCGTGTGGGGCTCTGCCCTCAGTGGGATGGTACAAACATTAAATACCACAAACTACCTGTGCTGGATTTACAATAACGTGCCAATATCTGTCACCTATGTTGAACAGTGTGTCCCCAGCCTAAACCAACAGAAAAATGCCAACACCACAGTGAAACGTGGAGGGCATGAAGAAGGAGAAAAAGGACAAAACACACCCAATTTCCTCATCTTGTCCCCTTTGAACCCCTAATCTAGAATCCTAAAATTTTACTTTTACACCCGTGCCACACTTAATTATTACTTATATCAAACACTCAGAGCTTGTAATTCATCCTGTAAGATTGAAAACTCTTTTCCATGGACAGAGATCACAGTCAGTGTCTCTGGGGGCTCTGTACAGGGGGGTTCCTGACCCCTGCCAGGGTCCCAGGCCTGCCAGGACAGCCAGAGGGAAGCCCTGGATTCCCACACTCCTCTTCAGTTTCCTCAAAGCCAGAACCAGAGCAAATCTCAGTTCCTGACATGCTTTTGCTTCATAGAGATGGGAGATGTGAGATGAACTAATAAGAGTGATAAATAATAAATACATTTTCTTTTATTTTCTGCTACAAAATGCCACAATAAAGAACATTGAGGTGGAATGGTTTCAGATTGAGGGTGGGCAGGCCCTGGCACAGGGTGCCCAGAGCAGCTGTGGCTGCCCCTGGATCCCTGGCAGTGCCCGAGGCCAGGTTGGATGGGGCTTTAAGCACCCTGTGATAGTGGAAGGTGTCCCTGCCCATGGCAGGGGGTGGGAATGAATGAGCTTTAAGGTTCCTTCCACCCAAACCTTTCTGGGATTCTGTGAAGACATGAAAAATTTTGGGTATCTACAGAGCCATGTCTCACCTCCTGGACTTCCATGGTCTCTGAATCACTGGTGACTTCCACAACCATCACACTGGATATCTTGAGCCAATCACTAGATTTTCACAGGTGTTGCTTAGTTTTTTTCTTATGATCTTTTTTCTCATGTGCTGGAAGTGGGATTTGGACATAATCCTCATACAGTGGAAGAGAAAATGTTAGGGCTGTGGTTGTGCTGGTTTTCAATGTTTTGCTATTCTTAAGTGAGTGCAGGTCTATCAGAGTGAGAAAGAGAAGCAGAAGGCCCCAGAGAGCGATGAATCAGCAGAGAAAGGGGCTGGGTGCTGGAAATGTGGTGGGGAAGTGCTCTGGGACAATGAGTGAGGTCGTTGGTGACTTGTTCTCTCTTGCAGCTCTGGGAATTGAGCAGCTGGTACCCAGCACTCCAGGTTTTGCTGCCTTTAAAGGCCTTTTCTTAATCCCACTTTACCCAGGACAGGCGGGCTGTCAGATCTGCGCAGGGGAGAGAGGAAAACACGGTCATTTAAACATTTAAATTAACCTTTAACAAGTCAACTATCCAGCCTCTCCAGAAGAGCAACCTCATTCAATTGGATCTTTCCAAGTGGAGCTCTTCAGGACAGGAAGTGTGGCAAAAGGGAGATCCCAAAGAGAAATATTTGTGTTGTTTAAAATCTGTTAAAAGCAGGGGAAGCTGACCACTACAATACAATTTTTTTTTGTGGTCAAGAGAGTTATAATCAGTGGTGTATCAAGAGTAATTTTCCCAGTCATTCAGATAATGGAAAATATTGGGAAAGGGATAAAAACTCAATTAACTTTTCGTTTCAAGTAAAGCGATTGCTTTTCCTCTGTAGGCTCTGTCCCTTTAGCACTTCCTTGCAATATGAAAGAGGAATATTTCTATTCACTGACTTTTCTCTTTCCTTACTTGTGCTGTACTTTTTGAAGGCTCATTTTGAAGGCCCCTTTTCAAGATCCAAAGGAACATATACAATAAAGGAACAGAGTTGGAAAGGGGATGAATTAACTTAAAATGCAAAGTACCAAGAACTACTGAAACCCCCCTCCCCTGCTCCTCCCTGCTCTAAGCAGTACAAAACCAGTTGCCTTCTGAGATTGAGGCCCTGTGTTGGGCAGTTTGGGCAATTTCCCACCTTCATTATGCAGTGGCCCGATGAAAAATATATTCCGGAGGAAGAAAGGCCTAAAATCATTCCAGCAAAATCAGGGATTAAGTACAAACCAAACAGAAAACTGAATAACAGCCCTCCACTTTAAAATAGAAATAATTATATGAGATTATAAATTGCAAATAGACATTTACTTCCCCATATTTTGAAAATAGCTTGAAATCTGAACTCTCTGTCTTGTGTATCCTGGTTCGTGTGTTGAACTGTAACCTTTGAGAAACTCTGGGTTACTGGAACATCTGTATTTTAAGAAATGAAAAGCTGTGCGTGTCCAAGCCTAGGTGTTTTTCTCAGCCAAGTACAAGCTAAAGAAACTTCTAAAGAAAACATAGAAAATCTCTACAGAAAAGAACATCAGAAAAGAAACAAGAAAAGAGCATCAGAAAAGCACAATTTCGCACCGAATTTTTTAGAAGGTCTAAAAATCTATTCTGAGAGTAAAAATCTTTCCTCTTTGTAAAAAGAACCGTAGCAAATTGCTTTTGGGGAGGGGAGGGGGGGTTGTTTATTCAATTTTTTAAAGAAAAAAATTCCTCCTTAAAAGAAAGTTAGAGAAGAGGGAGAATGATGATTTTCTGCCGCTACTTGATTTAGATTTCCTCTTTTCCAAGGTCATTTCTGCGCTGTTCCAGAGCTATTTGGGTGTGACAAGCAACTGCCCAAAAGCAACTCCCCCAAAGGCCGCCCACCCTGGCTCACCGCTGGTGTTCCAGGCTGCCTGCTGGGGGCTGCGAGCGCCGCTCCTCAGGCACTGCTCCACGTAGGCCTTGGGGTGGCAGCCGGACAGGAGGATGTCCCCAAGCAGGGCGATGTAGGCAATGGCTAAGCGCAGCGTGTCGATCTTGGACAGGCGCCTCTCGTAGGGGAAGGTGGGCACGTGGCCGCGCAGCGCCTCGAAGGCCGCGTTGATGCTCAGCATCCGCCTCCGCTCGCGGAGGTTGGCGGCGCGCCGCTGCCCAGGCTGCCCAGGCGGCTCTGGTGGGACCGGGCGCTTGTCCAGCTCAGCACCCACTGGCCCTGGCTGGGAGGGCTCTTCCAGGCACTCCAGGAGAAAGTTCTCCAGCTGGGTGTCGGGATCCGCTGGCTCCCAGAGGAGACATTCCGCAGTGGGGTCTCCTTCCTCGAAGCCGTAGCAAAGCTCCTCCATGCCCTGGCCCACCAGACTTCAGATTAAACTGGTTTATCAAGAAAATGGGGTTCCAATTTCATTAACAGCCCCCACCCCACTCCCCAGGGAGTTCTGGTTGTGTCCTTGGGGAAGATTATGGAAAAATTTTTCAAGGTTGCAAATCCAAGTGGAACTTGGGATTTAAATACTCCATGTCTTCCCAGCAGGAAATACCTTATGTCTCCTCTTCACCTCTCAAAACTAATTAGTGCATGTGCTTCCCTTTTTAATAGCTGTCCACTACAAAACAATATGAATGAATTGAAGACAGAATGAGATTTCTATTTACTTTCTCCTGGAAAATCCACTGAAGCACTTATTGAGCCCTTCCACAGGTCCAGTCTCTCCACCTCCTGTTTAGAGCAGGTTCACAGAGGGATTTTGTTTGGTGAGGAGTGGTTGGAAGAAGGAACAAAATAGTCCTTTATCTTTTTGGTGAAGCATTAATAGCCCCACAAAATGGGGACAAACAAAACACTATTATATTGCTGTCACAAACACATGGTCCTGTGTTTGACAGCACAAGACAGTAGCATCTTCTGCTCCTCTGGAGAGGGAAGGTGGGGGATGCACTCCTGTGCAAAACTGGGGCACAGTGGTACCTCATTAAGTAAGCCAACGCCACCTCCTTTGGTTTCTGCATTTCCCATTTACACTGGAATCACACATTTGCTCTGGGGACATTCAATGCTCTGTCTCACACCAGGGCTGTAAAACCACACAAGGTGCAGTCCTGGAGTGGTGGAGCAGGTGGGCCACACCCCTGGAAAAGCTGGAAACTGGGAGAGCAGCAGGTATCAGCATTGCAGGGATGGGGTGGAAGGTGTTAAGCACCACCAGAGCTTTAGGGCAGGTATGTAATATGTGTGCTTCGTTCCATTTTATTTCCACAGTGCTGATGCCAATGTCTAAATGAATTCAGAAATACTTCAAGTCGTATTTTTAAGGACTTGAGTGAATGGAAAGGAATCATGTTTTAAGTTAGAGCAAGCCTAAATGCTTTTCCTGAGACAGGTCATAAAGAACTTTTATAAAGGTACTTAATCACGTGCTTGACTTTGTGCACAGGCTCCCATCCTGCTGCTGTGTGGTGAAGTTTCAAGAGACACCTGTGAAGTTTGTGAGCCACAGGTAGATTCCTGACAGGACAAAGCTCAGCAGCTTCAGGTAAGAGCCAGAGAACAGAAAACGACCTGCATTTATCATGGACCCCGAAGGATTCTCAGGTTCTCCATCTAACAGTGTCTTAGGGTGCAGTCTTGGCAGCTTTGCTCTGGAAAAAGAGGGATTGACTTTAGGATAAGGCACAGTCTGTTAAGGTATCTTCTTAGCAACCTGGAATTTTCCCTTGTGGCAATTCTACCCGTCCCAGGAAGCTTAAGGCAGCAGGAAACCGGCTTTGGGAAAGGCTCTTGCCGAGTAGTTGTGAGAAGGTGACAGTTTAGGAAACATTAGGGCTGCCTTTGTTCTCCTTGCTGTGCAAATTAAGCAGGAAATCCATTAACTGTAAATCTGGGCAAGAAAGGAAAATGCCCCGAGTTAATATTGCCGGACAATAGAGGACAAATGGATGTTAAATAATTCGAGTTTGTCTTGCTTCCTCTGGTCAGCTCAGGGTATGAATTTTGTCCTGGTTTTGTACAAAGGCCATAATTTGTTCTGACACCAGACTGCCAAAGAACACAAAATTTTGGTGTAGTGAAAATTCACAGTGACAGACACTGAATCCCAACAAGAAACAGGGAAGGAGGGGATGGATGCAGGAATAGCCAAAAGTCAGAGGTGGCAGAGCTAAGGCTTGAACTCGGAGTGATCAATGTGGAGTTCACTCTGCAATGGTTTCTGTGAAGTCACGGAATCATTAAGGCTGGAAATGGCCTATAAATTCATTAAGTCCAACTGTGACCCCAGTTGTAGCTCCCAGTGTCCTGTCCAAGCAATGCTCCCAAGAGAAGCCACTCACTCCAGGTTCTCCTCCAGACGCTTCTCCAGCTCCCCAGACAATATGGAGCTGAACATTGGTGGTGTTCATCTGGCACAAGCAGATGACATTTGAAAATACCAAACTGGGAAGAGAACAGCTCCTGGAAAGTGCTCTGGAGGAGGCAGCTGTGCACTGCGAACAAGGGGCAGAGAGCAGGAGGCTCAGCAGATAACTCAGTGAGGTTTATGTGCTGGGTTCCCCTCTCTGAGCAGATGCTTCTCCAGTGCTCCAGTTCCCTCCTAGATCCATCACTGCTAGCAGTGTTGCCTGGGGATATGTTTGGCTCCACAGATGCAGAGCAGATGTTCCAGCAAGCCTCCTTTTAGCATGTTCAGGGGGAATTTGGCTCTCTTGGAGAGACTCAGGACAAAACAGGAGGGGGAAGGGGAGGGGAAGAAAGAGAAAATAAGAAAAGCTTTCCCCTTGGAAAGACAGCTACGAAAGAGGTTGGGTCTCTGGAGAGAAGACAAGGTTCCCATCCGTCCTATGAGCAGCCTTCACCACAACTCCAAACCTGCTGCACTCCCAGGGTTTCTGCTCCGCAGCTCTGCTCATCAAAGAGGGAGGGAATGGGCAGATAATTGGGCTAATTTTTCACCTGTCTGGAAGTTGTTTGTTAAGGAATGTCCCAAATAGATTGTGGGAGCAGGGCACCACCCTGAGCAGGGGTGCTGTTGCTCATGACATGTTGTTATAATAGAAAGAGCTGCTTAACTGCTCTATTCTCCCAAGGCACTTCAGCTCCAGTGGGATCCAGAAATAGCACTTGACTGGTGGTCATTTTTAATCAATAGGGTCTGATGATAGCAGATTCTTGAGTCAGGAACCCTGCCCTGGATTTATGTCTGTGACAGGCAAGGGAGCCATCATTGTTTGGGTTTGGATTTTTCAAGTCTGGATATCCACATCTGCCTTTAAATACTTTCTTATTTATGCTGGGAATGCCTTTCTCAGCCTTGTCCCCCTTCCTCTGCTATCTACACAAATCCACCCACAACCAACTCTGTGATTTCATGGATTTTTGGGTACACACCTGCTTTCAGGAAATATTTCCAATGCAGTTTTTTTTTTTTTCCTTTCCTTAGAAGCTGGAAGCTGTTATGCTGTACCTGGATCTCGAAGATAAATGGGTCGCCTGAGGTTATTTTGGAAGTGGATTCTTCTCTCCCCTTCTTGTCCCATTTGCCTTATTTCAGACTCAGCTTGGGGAACCTTCCCACTGATAAAACTGATAATTATTATTAATACTTTCTGCTTTTTTTTTTCCCTGGGAATTCAGCTTGAATATATTTCCATCATCTTTAATTGCTTAATAAAGGGAATCAGCCCTTGGCTTGGACAAAGAACAGATGGATAAAGGACCAGATGCTTCACTTTCAAGTGAGATGACTCCAAAGCACAAGTCCATCATGTCATAGCTGCTAATCCAATGTTACACTGTGCAGCTCATCCTCAGAACTGGGAACTGGGGCCCAGATGAGCAGGGAAGAGCAGATGAAAGCTGCAAAAAAAAATCCTGGGGAAGGCTTTGTCCAGGTGGGACTGTGCAGCTCATGGTGGTGTGGCTCTCTCCACATGTGTGAGTGAAGGCACTGCCAAAATGCAGCTACAGAGGGATCTCCAGGGGCTGGCTGGTGGAGCTGCCTGGAGTCCCAGCCAGAGGGTGGACACCAAGGTCCTGGAGCTCCTCTGGAGCCACCAGCCAGGCCTGGGACACCTGAATTGCCAGGCACATGGTTTGAGAACACTGGGGGCAGGAAAAGTACAAGTATTATAATTTAGCAATGTAATGTGCTGCTTTTTAACCTGAAAGGATTGTGGATGTGAGGACATAATGAGAAACAGAGCGAGGATTTCCAGGGCAAGGGTATTTCAAAGGGCTAATGGCTATTCCTGGGATGCTCCAGTAATTGTGAAGTTTTGCAGGATGTTGATTTAAGTGAAGAAGGTAACAGGACCTTTATTATTCGCTGGGCAGAAACCTCAGATGTCAGAGATTGTGGAGGAAGACCCTGGTGAGTGGTTGTTAATATAACTTTGATTTATTTCAAATGTAGAATAAACGAGTCAAAGTAGTCTCTGCTTTAAATGCCTTTGGTGTTTAAAAGTGAACACAGTCCTGTTAACCTTTTGCAGAGTTACAGAAAGTTAATCCCAGTCTCCAGGAGAAGGAAGGTATTTTCTCTCATAAAAACACTCACTGGAGGTTTCCCCTTTCTCCCAGAGCCTTTTACATGTCGGGGGTTGACCTCTGGGCTCCTGCTGACAAGTGATTCCTTATCCAAGTCACTGCTCTGGGACTGCTTGTGTGAGGGAATTGTCCTTCTAGGGAAATGCCAACCTGTGCTTTGATCTCAAAGAGTGTGGAAGTGCTCATGGAGTGCCTAAAGGAAAGTGGTACTCCTTATGGAATGGCCTTGAGAAAGCTGCTTGTCCAGAGAAGTTGTGTCTCCTTCATCCCTGGAAATGTCCAATGCCAGGCTGGATGAGGCTTGAAGCAGCCTGGGATAGTGGAAGGTGTCCCTGCCCATGGCAGAGGGGTGGAATGAGATGAGGCTTCAGATCCCTTCTAAACCAAACCATTCCATGATTCTATAACGCTTGAACCATCTGAAACATCCCTCCAGCAAGTTAAAATAATGCTGGGACTGCAGATAATTCCTATGAATAACTGTGTCCACATTCAATGAGAAATATCCCTAGGGAGAAGAAAGTTTGTCATTCATGTGACATCTAATGCTGTTCTTAATGGTTTCATTTGGATATCTCTGAGTGGTGACTTTAGGTACCTCGCTCCCAGAGGGTTTGGGTTGCCTCTGTAGAAAACATGTTGTCTGCAAGATGCTTGTACAGTTTTTGTTGAGGTGGGTTACCCATCCCTGGAGCCCTTTCTTTAGGTACAAGAAATACTAAATATCTGTGGGTTACATCACTACTTAATGAAAAAAAAAATACAGAGAAAAAAACTCCAACCCACCATCTCCCATGCCTGTTCCAGGGCTTTTTTCCTTAGTCTTCCTGCTTTCCCAGAGGAAGGAGCTGATGAGGAGACACAGCTGGGAACAGCCACAATGATGAAACAGAGAAGAGACCCATGCTTGTGCATCCTCAGCTTCCAGCCCTACCAGAGATCTTGTGATCTTTCCCATTAACGTGCCACTTTTGTGGGATTTTGGAGCCCAAGTCTCCCGCTGTGCCCGCAGAGAGCAGAGCCTGCAGCCCAGGCTGTGGCTGGGCTGGGACCCTTTTCCCAGCTCCCCCATCCCTGCTGGCTGCACCTGCACAGCCGCCCCTGGGAATTGTAAATCCCGCAGGTGGCACCTCGTAAACCTGCCTGGAGACCCTGGCTCTGCACACAGAGTCCCCCGGGCAGCTTTACAGAAAGATGCCTGTTTGACTGGCAGCTGCTGCTGCTTTATGGGAAGCCAGCACATGTTCCCACTAAAAACCAGGAACGGCGGCTTGGGAAAACTCCCTGCCTGCGTGAGAGGCCTCAGCCCCACTCTCCATCTGGAAGGTGGCTCTTCCTGGCTCTTTCCAGCCACCTTGGATGTGATTCAGTGCCTTGGCTGGCTCTGCAGACACGGTGGCAGGACTTCCAAACCTGTTTCTCATGGAGAGCTGTCAAGCCAGGTTATGGTGATGCTGAGCTGGGCACAGATGGGAGGGTTGAGTTGCAGAAAAATATTTTCAAAATTAAGAGGCAAAAAAATCAGAAATCTGGGAATGAGGTTGGGAACCAGCTGTGTCACCAACTAGTCTGGAAGAGAAAATCCCATCCCAAATCTGGACAAAGAAAGGAGCAGATGGGGGCAACTGGAAGCTCCTGCTGTAACCTATGGAAAATGCAAAGATTAAGTCTTAAAGAAGTTTTGGAATCACTTGGATGGGCAATTTATTGAGTACAGTTGGTGAGGACACCACTCTGGAGTAGAATCCTACACCAGCATGCCCTGCCTGGGAAGTTTGGGATGGCTCACATCATCCGATGCTCAGGGATGATGATCCCATCTATTTTTCAGTGTTTCCTCCTTTTTCCAGCTGGCAGGTCATTGCTGAATCAAAGAGGAGCCAATGCTCTCTGACAGACAAGTGTCACAGTGATGAGGGGGAACCAGAGTCTTGGGGACAATCACCAAAGGATCTGGAAATGTGGGCAGGCACTTTTTCCTGTCTTTATTCAACAAGACCCCAAGTAGGTTTATTCACTCAGGTTTTGGCCATGGGAGTGTCTGCAAATGCTTGATTCTTTATCCACCCCGTGCATGTGTCCTTTCCTGCCTGGTGCTATTCAGGCAGCACCCTCAACCCATATAGAAAAAACCCCACTGACATTTCAAAGAGGGCCAGGGAATCTTAAAGGTTGGAAAAGCTCTTCAGGATAATCAAGGCCAGCCTTTGACTGAACACCCCATGTCCATTCAACCATAGCACAAAGTGCCATGTTTCTCTGTTTTCTGAATGCTTCCATAGGTGGTGACTCCACCACATTTCTGGGAAGCCTGTTCCAATGCTTGGCCACTCTTTCAGTGAAGAATTCTTTCCTCCTGTTCAACCTGAACCTCTCTTGCCATAACTTGAGGGCGTTTTCCCTTGTTCTGTTGATATTTCCCTGGGAAAAGAGGCCAACCTTGCCTCTCCATAATCACAAGTTTCAACCACAGCACAAAGCAGCCACAGCTCCAGAAATCCTTAAATTGTTTGGTGGAGCCTGAAGGAGTATGCCAGGGAAATTATCAGCAAATTCCTGTTCTCTTTCCAGTGCTGGCAGAGTGTGGAATTCCTGGACAGGCACAGTGTGACTGCTCCTAGGAAGTTCAGGGACAAGTATCTTTTAATGCCAAGCAGAACTGGTCAATTAGATGATGATGTTACTTTGAAAAGGCTTCCTCTCTTTTCCATCTGAGTGCATTTGGGGAAGGCTCCCACCAAAGAAAAAAAAGAGAAAAACAACAAAAAAAGAAACCTGAGCTTTTCATGCAATCTTCTGTTTCAAAAATTGGCACTCAGAGAGAATTATCGAAAACTATTTGTCAGGCACTGACATTTGAGTCAGTCTTCAAGGAATTTGAGATTTCTAGAGGTAGTGAGGGAGGCTTATATGGGAAATCTCTGGAGAAACCTGTGTGCTCTGGGGAGTTTTGGGCAAGCTGTGTTGAGAGCAGCTTTTGGAAAACGGAGCTGTGAGTTCCACAAGCCACTGACAGGAATAACAGAGCATGGGGAGATGTTGTGCAACACTTCCAGACCTCAAAGGCTCAGCAGCTCACCGCATTCCTGGGAAAAGCTTGGCTCCATTTCATTCCTTATTTTTGCTGGAGAAGTGCACTGAATGTGGCTGGGGTGTTGCTGGTGAGTGGGTCATGAGCTGGTGTCACTGGTCTAGAGGGGCCACAGGACATCCTGATCCTATGGAGAACCCCTGAAATGGAGAATAATATTTTATGCTTTGAAAATCTCATTCCCAGATGGAGAAACTGAAGCACCACCAGCATGTGGAGGAAGGATTAAATCTCACCAGGCTTGTCCTAGTTCCAGAGCTAAGCTCTTGGTTAGTGCCCAGAAGGTCCTGGCTTCTTTGTGTCTTGGTGTAGCACTCTCTGTGTGATATATCCTTCCAAGAAAATACTTCTTGTTTAAAAGAGTGAGCCCCCCTTTTTAATACATGATTTGTGTTTTTGAGTGCAGGTCAAATAGCAGACACTTCTGATTAATGCAACGTCGAGAGATGGCAAAAAAGAAATAAATAACAATAAATAAAAAAAAACCCCACATGCCTCGGTGGGAAAAAGTATAAAGAACAAACATCCAGTGCTGTTCAACATTCTGGGAGGTGGGGAAAGGAGCAGGAAAGATCATACCTAAACAGAAAGCCAAAGCCAGTGCTTGCAATTGCCAAGACATCAGCCAAAAGGAAAGCACAACTGTGATGGCAGTAAAATCATGTATGAGTCATGATGGGCCAAGAACAAGTTTGCTTTCTTTTCCCCCCTCATTTAGCAGATGATGATTAAAAGATAAATCATGCCTGGAGTCAAATCAAGTGATTGGATTAAAGTTTAGTTGAGTATTTAGAGACTGTTTGGGACATAATGGAAAGCTAATTGAAAACTTACATTTGTGAGACCCTTGAACTCTCCAGCTCTTAATAAAATACTACTGCAAAGTACACAAGGGTTCCCTGTGGGAGAGATTCCTCTCCACAAGAGCTTGTGCTCCTCAGGTATGTGGAGAAATGGAATTCATTTTCTCGACAAGTTCACCAAAGAAAGGCATGTTCGTGATCGTAACTCAGCTATTGCTCATGGTGCAGTAACTTAATCTGTTCAGCTCACTGAAAAGCAGCAAAGCAAGACAAAGGAAAGTCACTTCTTGGAAAAAAAAAAATTAAATGAGGACTTAAACACTTCATTTTTTTAACTAGACTTTGTTCTGAGCAGCTGGTATTCCAGAGTGACTGGCTGCCTGCACTAGGCTGAAGTGACTCTGGAGTTTTAAAAACGACGTAAAAATTCCTTCTAGATGTGCTGTAGTGGGAGATGTCATGCTTTATTTGGGCTAATAATGTAATTGTACTCTGGAATCACCCCCAGTTCTTAAGGAACATACCCAGCCTCCAAAGCATTGTCCTTTCTGGTGGAAATACCGGTGAAACCCACAAATGAAGAAAATAAACTCCCCTATGTCCTCACACACATGAACAGGCAGAAATGGAAAACTTGGCTCTTCATGTGACCTCTGTGACCAAACATGAGCCTTCCTTGGGAATCCTGAAGGGAAGCTGCAGAAACTCTCTGGCCAGGTTCATTTGCCCCCTCTGCACTGTGATTCCCATGGACCAAAACTGGATGATGAAGGGGAGCATGGCAGAATTACCACCTCCACATGTGCAAGGTTTTGTACTTCTCTAACTACTTTGACTTTTGGAACAGTTCTTTGGGTTTTTTGTTTTTTTTTTTTTCCTGCAGTAGGATGTGTTTGTGCAGAGACCACAGGTGGGAGAGAAGGTTTGGGAGGCAGAATGGGAAGAAATTATTATGTTGATGAATGTAGGAAGCCTCAAAGAGTGCATTCC